ATGTCTGAGTTTAAAAGATGGCAATTAATTTAAGCCCAAATATTCATAGTAATTTAATAAATCTTTCCAACACACATTGTAAAAAATAGCCTAAGTTAAGAAATCATTCCAATATGTGCGATAGGTCAGTAAAAAAATTAAAAAAACACAGTTTAAAAGGGGAGTGATTAGTCAAATATGCATAAATAAAAAGAAAGAATGCAGACTAAGATAAAGATAGGAGAGAGGAGTTTATCAAATATTTGTTATTGGTTGTGAGCATATTATTATGGTTTTTTGATCATTGAAATACAGTTCTGTTTCATATGAGTGTTGAGAGCTGTGTCCATGCATCTCTTTTTGCCCTCAAAGTGCACCAGATTGATGCATTTAACTTCAATTTAAAGAAAAACATCTTATGTTGTAACAATAACATTATAAATAGTAACATAGCTGAACATGGTATTGCACATTTAGCTTTGAGTGTTATTGACCTGAGATGTTTTTATTACATGAATTAAGCCGGTGACTGAGGCTTTTTAACATACACTTTTCAGTGTCCCACATTTTGCACAGAACTGTCCCACATTAGGAAATGCAGATTGTCTGAGACAACTTGGCACTAACTGATATGTCTACCATTTCTTTTATGAGTGTAATATCGGCATTTTCTCTTTTGGTTTGATTAGGGCACATCCTGGGGATTTCAGAATGGTACTGGGTGTTGATTTATTGTATTGGCTTCATATAGCAATATATTCCAGAATTCTGAAATGCAAAAAATGTCCCACATTACTATGTTACCAGACTTCTGGAATATATTGCTATATGAAGCCAATACAATAAATTAGGGCAATTCACCCGTTATATTCAGTAGGCTACGTATGTCCAAGCACCAGCTCTCCGAAGCAAATTCCTTTAGTTGTGTATGAAACCCTACTTGGCAATAAACGGGATTTTGATCCTCATTTCTAATTTTACCGCAGACCTCTGGGGAATCTATCGTAGTTACCATAGAAACCGACCTCCACGGTGATCTGAAAATAAATCTCCCGGTCTGTTTTCCCTTTGGATCTCTTGTCCTCATTATTTGCATGTTTCCAGCCAGTGCCCGGCCTCAGTGTGTCCTGATTTCCATACAGGTGCTCGGCTCCAGCCTGCTTTGCCTGAAAGCAGGCGGCTCCTCCCGCCCTGCGTATCCCGCATCCAGTCGCTATCAGAGACCAGCGCAGGGGAGTGCCCTGCCTCGCGGACCGCCGACACACACAGCCTCCTCCTCCTCTTCCTCCTCCTACTCCTTTTCCTCCTCCTGCACTGAAGCCGGACCCTCTGCCGAAGAAACTCCACTGACTCTCAGCTGTTATTGTCGCTGCCGAAGCCCCGTCTGCACCCCCCTTCAGCCGGCTTCACGCAAAATCGACCCTCGGTCTTCTCCAGTAGGCCTGACGGTAAGAGCGGTTGTTTGTGTGGGGGGGTTTGCGTGTTTGCGGGTTTTCATTGACATGAAATCACGATACAAATGCGTTGGAGCTGATGTTTCGATGTGTTAGCCACACAGCCACCATGTATACTCGCTTTATCCTCCTACACGCGGATGTGTGCGTTATAATCGGCTTAATGTAAATGTGTGATTAGCAGCCTGAATTATCCCTGATTGCTGAGGGCTGATGTCATTGTGGTACATTTTGGAGGATGTTATCATGAAATGATGGCCATTTTAATGGAACAGCTGGCTGCTGGTGAGACAGCAGGATGGATGCTGGAGGAGGAATCAGGCACCAGGCAGCAGACTGCTTAGATCCGTGAAGGAGAGGAAGAGGATGAGAGAGGAGGAGGAGGAGGAGGAGGAGGAGGGAGACACAGTTTCCAGTAGAGAGGACTAAATTGATCCCTGGTCGGCCTCAACTCTCATCTGGGCCCTCTCTCTTTCCAGGTCTCTTCCTGCTGTTCTGTGGCAGGGTGGGGCATAATGTACTTTAAGTAGGAATATAAGACAGAAAACACAGGCAGTTAGCCTTGTTTCTATATCTGTCCATTAAAAAATAACATAAAAAACATCCAGCTAAGTGTTTTTGCATTAGCAGTGCGCTTAAGTACAATTGTAATGTTTTTATAGTCAAGTTGTGTATAATAAGATGCAACTTGATCGTTTTATTACACTACATTTGTGTGACAGCCACAGTAACCAAAGTGAGTTTCCTCTACAGATGGATCTTCAAAGCACTTGTTATTAAATCCGGGTCTGCATTTTACAGTTATTTCCATTTGCAGATTATTTTTGAGATTAATTGTTTGTTCTAAAAAAATATCAGAAAATAGTACACTATGTTTTTAAAAATCCAAAGTGGTTCAGCCTTATATTATACTAGGAACAGTTGTATCTGCCATTTTCACACTTGATATATACAGTGTATGTTTTTCACAGTTAATCAAATAGTTTGAGTTAGAATTGTTTCGAATTATTGCAACGTTTTTCCTTTAATCTCATTTATATCATAAACAGAGAACCTCCTTCACTAGTCCTGCTACTGACAATATTTAAACTACCCACAGCAAGTTACATATGGTCTCAAATAAGGGTCATATTGGCATTTTGTCAGCATCTATTCCTACACGAATATGTCCCATTAACCACTTCCCTCTGGTGTTCAGTGAAACTCTCCAAAGTGGCGACCATCTGGTCTTTATAAGGTTTCCTCAGATATAAATCCAAGTGGTTCCCACCAAGGAGTCACGATGTGACTTAACAAGAGGAAAGAAACATATTTCTGCTTCAGGTCAAACAGTCACAGTTTTCAGTGTAATTTATGACAAACAAATATGATAGATTGTTTCATTCAGACATGTTTCAAGACTTTTGGTTTGAGAAGTCAAGAATATCCTGAACTTTCCAGACCTTGTACAAACCCTGAGAATGATTCTTAAATTGCAACAAAACATTGTATTTTTTTATTCCAGATACGTTTTTGTGGTAAATATGTGGCTTTGTTTTAAATCTGTAAATGTTCTTTTGTGTGTTTAAAGCAGTTGCATCATGGAGGAATTAGACGTCCCACAGATGAGGAGAGAAGTAGAAAGCCTTCAGTATCAGCTGGCAATCAACAGAGAGAAATCCTCTATCACCGTCACTGAGTGAGTGTGCACACACACACACACACACACACACACACAGACGCTCTCTAAGTATTCAGTATCAGTTCCGTGCTTACCGTGTGTTTATGCGTTTTATTTTTGTAGGCTGGTGAAGTGGATCGAGGGGTGTGTGTGTGATGATCCATTTCTGAACCCTGAGCTGATGAGAGCCAACCCCTGGGTGGAGAAGGGCAAGTGTGTGATCCTCTAATGGTCACACACACATGCACGCACGCACACACACTACACATAGACACACAATCACGGATGCATATAAGCAAAGAACCATGCAATCCCACGCTGCACTAACTCACCCATTCTTTCTCTCCCTCTCACACACACACATACACACACATATTATTGCTATTATGTTTATTTATTGGGAGACTTCTGAATGCTTTTAATTTATGTTAAGACTACTGTGTGTGTGTGAGTGTGTAGCACTGAGTAGCTTTCTAGAGTTTTGTTTTCATGGAATGCTGAGAAATGTTCAACAACTCGTTTTTATTGGCTCTTTACACTGTCAATCAAAATAAAGACTGTTTGGAATTTAACAGCTGGATTTTGGATTTATTCAGACCCTTACATATAAAATACAGGCAGTAATGTGTGTGTGTTTGTTAGTGTGTGTGTTAAAGTAGTTCTCTGATGTAGACATTTCGTCTGACGGCGTTGGACATGCCCTCGTTGAACCGGAACCAGACGTCACTGTCGCCCACTGCCTTTCCCATACAAGTACTCGGACACTTCTCACCTAGAGAGAGGGAAAGAGCATGTTTTCAGTGGGTTTTCTTCAGAATCAGGAACAGGATCATTGCATGGTTATACCAAATAGTTTGAAGCTTCATCGAACATGTTTGCATTAGTTTTCTAAATAAACATTAAACCGCTGTGCAACATGTCTATTCATTCTTTTAACTCTGTATTTGCACACCGTTGCAAAATGAAGATCAGGCTACAACAATATTATTAGTATTTGTAGAATTACCTTCCAGTGGTGGCTTTCTGACTTGTATAATGCAAACATTTCCAATAGCTCTGAGTCTCCAAAAATAAAATGTATCGAACAAAGATACACATAATCATTTTTGAAATAAAATAAAATTGTGTTTAAATGAAATATCACATTTTGATCTATATTTGTAAGCGTTAAGTCTTGAAAAAACCCATTTTAAGTTTGGTTATGACAACGACTTCATTCAAATTGAGGATAATGTTTCATAACATAAGATGACACACATTTGAAGCTGTTTGGATAAATGTCAAAATGAACACTGGAGCTTTGACCGTTTGGGTCAGCAGAACCTTGTTGTTGCTCCTGCTTTGACCTACTAAAGCAGCTGTTTATCCCCCCTCCCCCCTTCACCTCCCCGATTACCCTGTTGATCAATTTCGGGGAATAGAGTGCTTTCAGGAAGGTTAGTGATTTTACTGTGTCCACTATTCCACAAACCCTAAGCACTGAATCTGGGCCGATGTTATTAACTGAATAATGTACAGGTATTTTTGATAACAGTTATCTACATGCACCCATGAAAAGAAGCACTGAATAATAACCTTAGAGATTTAAAATAGAGGCCTTTCACAGAATATTATATGGAACACGTTGCTGTGATTCACACTTTATGTTCATGGAGAATACTGCATATGAAGCAAAGCAATAATAACTGGGTGTCTATTGCTGGATATTATAAGAACTCGCGTAGGAACAATAGAAAGCGTTTTCCAACTTGTGTGAACTTTGTAACTGCAAGCAAGAGTGGAAAGGCTGTTTTGAAAACATTAACCCCAGATGGCCATGTTGGAGGAGAGGCAACACGCAACACATTTCAGCTCTTTTGTTTATGCAAATGTTCTATATTTGGTTTCAACTGCAGTCACGCTTAGTTTCCAACACAAAGCTTCTGGCAGCCCCAACTAAATTAACAATGACTGAAGCAAACTGATCAACTAAGGCAGTGTTATACATTGTATTTACATACTTAAATATAAGGATTGTTTATTCTATTGGCTGGGGTCCAAATATAATGCTTTGGTTTTGCTTACCGCTTCCATGTTGCTGATAGAAATATGATATTACCAACATTATGGAGGGAAAAGCAGGTGCTGTTGACAGTCTAAATCTCCTGCCTGCAGTGTGCAACAGGAGTTCTACATTTGAAGCATTACGTACAGCACATTAGTTTTCCACCTCCTGTGTGTTTGGGCCTCATTTGCCTCGAGGCCTTTTTCCCTCAATGGCCATTCAGTGTTCTCAAAACATTTAGATAAATCAGGCTGGTGTCGAACACCTTCAACCCACCTGTGTTGGTAATCTTAGTTTTTTTCAGACATTGTTTTAAAATAAATGATGGAAAGAGACTTGTTTCATAACCTATAGCATTAACTATCTACCTCCTCACACATCTCTTTCCCTCCATGTTATATATAGACTCCGCAGATGGGGCTTCTTTATTTTTCCACACCAATGCACAATGTGAGACACACTAATGGTTTTATTTGTTCTGTAGGTTGAATCAATCACTTTGACGCTGATCAAATCCTCTTTTTGGCCTTTTGTATTCAAGTAATTTTTTTGAAAGCACATTTATATTGATATGGACATCCATCATTTCTGGTATTGGAAAAACTCCATTTCCTTTATTTCTATATTAATAATGCTCCTTTTAATTGTGTTTAGTAATGGTTGTGATTCTTTTGTCTAGTTATTTAGTTCTTTTATTCGAACGTTTAGTGGTTGTCATTGTATTATTATTTTTTGACCCCCTTAAAACTAGATGATACATCGCGAGGGGTTTATCTTGAGAAAGTGACTTTTCTTACAAAGCACAGAGTCTCTACAGTACCTGTCTCTGAGGTGGGTGGGGGTCTCGGAGGTTTGGGGGCCAGAGCTCGACCAAAGAAATCCACCTCGGGCTGCAGAACGAAAACACAGAGTGAAGAAGAGGATGAAGTTAATATAGAAGTTTCTGAAAAAGCGTTCTCAATAAGGAGGTCAAGAGAAATGAACACACTACCTCTCATTAGCCTGATTTCCCAGTTTCCCCATCAGGGACTGTAACCCAGTGGCTTGTCATTATCCTCGATTCATTCTGCCTCTAGAGGCTCCCCTCTCCATCACTGAACTATTATAACCCTGCAGCTAACTAGAAAGGCTCTGAGGGACAGTGCCTAACAGATGCTGGCTCCACCTGGAGGCTTCAACTGACACATACAACTGTGGGAGGCTCAACACTGGTAGAGAGAGAGAGAGAGAGAGAGAGAGAGAGAGAGAGAGAGAGAGAGAGACGTACTAC